AGATGGATTCCCACCAGAAACCTCAGAAAGCTACTGGGTTTAATGACAATATGATCCAATAAATAATTTTTTTTTTTTTTTTTTACAGACCACATACAACATATTGCCCTCCTGAGAGGCAAGCAGGAATTAAATTTTCTTTGTGAAACATTAGTTTTTACATTTTTTAAAAAAGAATCTTTCAGTTCATTCTCTCTCTCAAATGACTGAGCTAGCACTGCTTAATATAACAAGAAATGTAATTTGCCTTCAAAACAGTGCCTCCAATAGTAACAAGACTTGATGGCTAGAAATGTAAAATGTCAAGTAGCATCCATGTACCCTAGCTCATGTCTATTTAAGTTAGCATAGAGAAGACTTGGTAGCATGTGTCCTAAAAATGATGCAAGTTTTTTACTGACATTGCATGAACAAAACTGGCTTAGAGGGAGCAAATCTTGTTTTCCTTAGAATTGCTGTTCATTCTTTCATGCTTTTCTCAGTGTGAACCAAAAAAGACACCCCATCAGTTTCATCATTGCTTACAGTCAACTTCACTGTTAGATTCTATCTTTAAATCCATTCCTCCCTTCAGAAGGGAAGGCTCTCTCTCCACTTCATTCAATACAAAAGTCCTGCCAACCTCTTTCTAATATTGTTCCCCTTGTGCTCTTGGCATGTCCCCATAGAGACGATAGGGAGACATGATATGAAATGGGTAAATTGCAGAAACTTCTGTAGCAATCATTTCCTGCTTTGTGCCATAGTCATCCCCTGAATCCTTTACAGCTGCGTCAATGGAAGCTTTGGGAGTTTGTTACTGTCACAGTGTTGAGTTCAATATGGGCCCAACAAGCATCTTTAATAATGAGAGTTTCTCTCCATTCTTCTCTATTAGCATCAGATCACTTCTAATCCCAGTCAAATAAAATGTACATTAGAAAAGAATACTCCTTTGCTTATGCTATTTTCCCCCCTAAGAATTAATCTACTTGGAAGATTTTCAGACCACTCCTTCTCTGGATTTAGTGCTAATGGAAGTAGCAGAGATCAAAAGCAAATCTTTTTTCTGCTGACATGTAAGTCATTTTTTGGCAGATTCCCACGGTGTTCTAAGGTTAACGTTATTGGTCTAAGTGCTGAGTTTCATGTTCACAATCAAGCATCAGAAGCCATTTAACGGTAGCTTCTTTGCTAAATATAGCAGAATTGACCCACCCAGGATGCACCCTCTGAGTGTAAATGCAGGTAACCTTCCAAGCACCGTATCCACTTACATCCTTTAGCAAATGCATCTGTCCGGATAGGAAATTTCAGCAGAGCTAATGGACCCCTGTTGCTACAGCAGCAATCAAATTCTGCTTTGTATGGCTTTTTGAAGCCTTCACCCCCTTCTCCCTTCTCCTCCTCTCACCCCCCACATCCAAAGTCAATATGGATTCTAAAAGCACCTTAGTATCACATTTAGGTCCTAGCTTTATTTTGCATTCTCACAAGGTATGATAAATGAACACTATACAATAGACTTTCAAGGCAACACAAAATGCTATTAGTAGGTGAATAGAGTCTAAATTCTTTTGCTTTTTTAGCCTCGTTAGAGATTATTTGCATTTAAGTCTACCCTAGCAATGAGGCAAATTACAAGCCATTAATATACATTTAAAGTTTCTCCCTGCCCATTCAAGCAGAATTCAGAAGTCAATCACAACTTTAGAGTAACCTTTAGACACACCTGTTTCTCACTATTCCTAAAATCAATAATTCTTAAGCTAATATATCAGATTTTCCTATACTGCCCATTGCTGCAATTATTCTACTCTTAAAGCAAGATAAATGACATGTACTATTATTTATAGAAGCAGCCACATTTAGAAAAAAGGATCATAAGCCATTATCCCGCCTGTTTTCTTTCCAATTCAGGGGGTCCTAGGAGTTTAAAGATGTATAATGTCTTCTTAAGTTTCAAAAAAAATAGGTGTATGATCATACTCTGGACAGAGATGCCGACTAAACTTATTTACTAATATTACCAACTGTGGGGGGAGACTTCTTCAGGGATTTAAAGGCACCAATCCTGTTGAAAGTCAATGATTTTTGTGCTCCCAAATGCTTTCAATGATTTTGAAAAATCCCTTTCCTACAACACATACAGGTTATCTGACAGATATGACGGATGCACAACAATTACGTGGACTTTTTGGGCATCCTTGACTGAGTATGTTGGATTCTGTCATTCTGGACTAAGCATGATGTAATCTCACAATCCATTTTAAACAGACGGCAACAACAACCCATGATTTACATCAGAAACCCGTGTCGCGCACACTGAGAAAAATTCCAGTCTAATCCCTGGAGGATGAACACGTCTCAGGTCTGGAAACTGGGGACATAAGATCATGGGCATTATCTCTTGCCATTCTGCAAAATGAATCTGTGCAGCCAGAACTGACAGTCTCCACCTCTGGAAGGCTCAGTACTTTACCACTCATGGAAAATCCAAGCAGCTCTCAGTGGCGATTGCAAGAAAAAAAAAACCATAGTATTCCTGAGGCATCCATGTACAAGAGGGCAAAAGTTAGTCACAAGTGGAGCAAGAGAGTTGGAGGATCTGTATGAATTTGTCTGATGAAAGCACTACTGACATGTAGAAACAGGGGAAGCCATGCATTAGAATGCAAATCAACTTACTTGGACACAAGAGAGAATGCCTCCGAACAAATAGCTGGGCAGGAGACGAGTCTGATTTGGATGTGGCCCAGAGCAGCAGGGAAATGGGCCCGCGTCACCTTCTCGAATACAGAACTGAAGGTGTTGATGTCTGCTGTCTTGCAGTTCTGGTCCCCTCCTCCTGTATCTAAGATGCTGCCCCCATGTAGGACAAGAATAAGGACGTGAGTTTTACAGTTCCTGGGCTGAGCTCCATCCTGAAGAAAGGAAACAGTCATTGGAACAGGCTTTGCAGAACAACATTAGTACATTTTGTGCCAACATCCGCAAGCAATTAGCTATATTCTTCCAGGCTCAGAGTGATCTTTTATGTAGTCGACTTCAAAAAAAAAATCAATTTTATTCAAGTATCTCCAAGTCAGATACAGCACACTCTGCTTTACCACAGCAGCTTTCATGCCTGAGGCTTAGCTATAGGTTTCAGATCCAAAGACAAAAATGAATGGTTTTACACACCACAAAAGCTATTGGTTGCATACTCAGAAGGAGAAGATGGCCAACATCTAGAAAAAGCCAAAGTAAGCGTATAGTTATCATGGACTACGCTAATCTCATTTTGCCAGATTTGTCAAAAAGTTTTAAAACCTGTGATCATTTCAGTTTAGGAGAAGAGAAGCACATTTTGCTGCCAATATACTGTACATCATAATTAGTTCATGCAGTTTTTTCACAACCTGTTGAGGCGACCATCCAGTATTTGAAATAACCATTTTTTTGTTACTCCCCCAAAATTTATTTAAAATAAATTAGTACATATTATGTAATAGTTTCATAGTTTCTAGGGTCGGAAGGGACCTGAGCAGATCATCTAGTCCGACCCCCTGCCATGGCAGGAAGAGCACTGGGGTCAAATTACCC